AAGGTCTGTTTCACAGCTTAATTAAGGCCTCTGGTGTGAGTGAGGTTTTTAATAGGAACTGGTCGTGGACTTATTCGGGACATAATGAAAGGAAATCTCCGGTGAGTTGCATTTCACCCAAATTGAACGTTACTGTTTCGACATTTATCGGGCGTTCCGTTCTTCTCCTCTCACTTGTTCTTCCTTCCCTTTGCCATCACCCGACCACATCCTTCTCCTCCTGTCCTCCCTCAGGCAGTCTGTCTCTCCTCAGGTGACGCTTCCTTCATCACATCAGGTCGCACATTACTTTCCTCAGCAGCTCGCCACTAGCAGCTATTATTATTTACAACCACGGGTTACAGGGGCACTGAGGATTATCTATGGGAGGATATGTGTGTGTGTGTGTGTTTACATTAACATTATTTCCTCCTAAATCTATTTCGTTCGGCTCATTATGGCAAAATTTCCTCTTTGAAAATCCTTCCCCCTTTCTCTCTGCTCCATCCCTCCCACTTTCTGAACCCAGCGATCATCAATCTAGCCTCACATCTACCTCAGCGCCACACAGCGACTCCCTCACTTCCAACAATACATAAACATTAGGCAGAAACAATTACCCCGCCTGGCATATTGTACCAGGAAAGTTTGATATGAAAAATGATTGCCTTCCCCGCTGAATGGAGAGAACAAATGGAAACATGCACAACACATTCCCCGGGAGAAAAAAAAAAATAGAAATATTAGGTTCAAGTTTTCTGGCTACTTTCTTCAAGAAGAAGAAAAGATGAAATGCTGTAAAGTCTGGTGGTTTTTCCCAAGTGGTTTCACACCTTGGTCTGAATTGGTTTTAAATTCATCATGACCAGACATGATTTACCTGGATCACATTAATGTTAAATTACATGTCCATCATTAAAATCAAAGAAATAAAAGATTGAATTCTTCAGGCCAGTGTCTGAATTCTCTCGAAATCAGGAAAAAAAAAATAAAGTTTGGACCAACGTGGATGAGAATATGAAAATGTGTTTTTAACAAGAGCAGGGCTGAGAGTGTACGAGGGTCCACAGGCACCGTGTGGGCGCCGGGTATTTGTGTAATGCATGGCCAGACAGTGGAGGAGAAAGCTGCTGCAGTGCAAACTAAACAGTCTCACTCCATCAGTCCCACATCTCACTGATGATGTCCTCATCATCATCTCCCAGAACTTACTCACACACCACCACGTCACCCTGTGCGCGCCTGTGTGTGTGTTTATGTGTGTACTTGCAGGGCTCTTTTATTGCATATCATTATGCGAGATCATTTTTTGCAGTCGGTGCTCACGGAAACTTGGGCAGCGAAGTGTGCCCCCCCCCACAGTATACACACATCTACACGTGTGTCACACGGGTGTAATCATCAGTTGGTGCGTGCCTGTGTGTGTGTGTGTGTGTGTGTGTCTGTGTGGTTATAGGGGGTGCTGAGGGAGATCTTGGCCTCTGGTTTAAGGGTCAGAAGATTCTGATCAGTGGCAGACTCCATTAACAGAGGGAGAGAGGATGGGAGGGGTTCCATTGTTCCACCAAGTGGAAAATTGAGTCTGTGTCACAAACTAATCAAATCGTACCAAAGGTGAGTGGAGGAGCGTAGCACACACAAACCCGTACGCACGCACGCGCGCACACACACACACACACACACACACACGTATTGCTGACAAGTATCCAGGCCACCTTACAAAGTCACTGAAGATGTGCGCTGAGCAGATGGCTCCAGAACAAAAGTCTGCCGCGGCGTCAGTGTCAGCCTCAGCATTCACATGGCTTTATGTCAGAAATCAAATCCTGAAATCATACAGGGAGAAATAAGACACAACCCGTGGGTGCCATGTGTCTGCTGAAAGAAAAAGAAAAGAAGGAAAGAACTGACTGCTGTAGTAAAACCCAGACGACTTATCTCAGATGTTCAGATGACTGGACGTTTGTTTCTGATTACATCAAGTGTGTGCGTGCATTTGTGTGTGTGTATGTGTGTGTGTGTGTGTGTGTGTGCACTCGTGGGTGATTTCTGCACATGGTTCAACACGCTGCTTTACGATGCTCTTTTATGGAGTTATTGCTTTTTCATCCCAGGCTTGGATACGTGACATAGGACTGTGGGTAGCTGGTGTGGCTGAGCATCTGTGAAGGTAAAGACGAGAGCTTCCCATTGGCCAGCTTCACACGTCCCAGCTCTGCTCTTCTGTTCCTGCTTCACACCAGTTCATCCATGAACTGCAGAGTTCTCCCGGCTTTAGGAGGGGTGAGAGGGTTGGCTTAGCCCTGACAGCCCTGTTCGGGTTTTAGCTGGTGTCCTGTAACTTCGACCGCCACGCCCCCACCGCCCCCACCTCTTGTGTCTCTCAGCGCTACGAGGTTGAGGTTTTAGTTTTGGATTGAGGGTCCTTCTTGCCGTTCTGATGAACTGGCGAGTCACTAGAGGTCTTGGGCGTTTTCCTGGGCGGGCTCTGCTCAGCAACGTCATGTAAAGAGGGCTCCCTGTACATGGCCACTGGGGAGAGAGAACGGTCAGAATCAATACATTTTTTAATATTTATTTATACTTAATATTACAGTATTGAGATATACAAATGCAGATACACTAAATCCTTCATGTTTTATTAACAATAACTGCAGGCAGCGTAGGCTAATAATAGAAGTGCATCTTGATACTGTAGGTCAGTGTTTCCCAAACGTATTTCCTGGGGACCCATATTTTAAAAGTCACAAACCTTTGCGACCCAAGTCAATAGACATTATTCATAAACTCCTGGGAAACATGATGCGAGACGACCCCAAAAAAAAGATCTCTAGCGATCCACCTGAGGGTCGCAAACCAGTCTTTGGGAAACAATGCTGTAGGTCACAGTGTCATCTCTGAGGACCTGAGAAGTGCATTTGCCCAACTTCAGGCGTTGAGGTGTTACCATGGCAACGAATGGCAAAAATATTCGACACCACTTCTCTTTACGACATTTGCTTCTGATTTTTTCTAGAATGTACGTTTCCAGAGGTAAAGCTAACTACATCAAAGATGTAGGTGTACACAACCCCATATACAAAAAGTACACATATACCTGGTACTGTACTAGTTCATCTGCAGTACATCTTTATCTAGTATTTGTTCATATGAAGCAAAAATATCCATGAGTATTTTTTAGCATATTTTAGCAGCTTCTTTTTTACACTACAACTCTATTTTAAATTATGGACATAATGCATATGCAGAGCAAATGTGAACCAAATGTACTGCAGTCCACATTAGAATGTCTATTCATACACTTTTAGTAATAAGCTTACAACAAAAGTGAAACATATTTAGTTTGGTAATGCTGATCCTTTAATTGCACACAAGAGATGTGGATCTATCATTTTGAATGCTATGACACCGAGGTGCTGTTGCTATTTTCATTCCTGATTAATAGGAGTCACACTGAGGTGGAAACACTTACTTGTTTCTAAGCGATGTTCAGGTCAATACTTTTAAATGGAGTGACTTTTTTACTCTATATAAGCATGTCCAGTTGCGTGTGTGGCAGATGTGTGTCTGTGTTGGCAGTTGTTATTTCTGCCAACACAGACACATTTTATTCTTCGTTGGAGTCAAGCCTGCTATGAGAGACTTCCAAAACCCTGGTCTGGTTCTAGGACAGGGTTGTTTTGTCGCCTCTGTTGAAGCTGATGGAAGATGTTTTGCTTTCACTGAGTTCTACCTACTGTAGTACTTTAAAAATGTACTTAGGGTAATAATGGTATATTTAATAAAAGGTCTTTAAGGATGAAGATCATGTGGCTCTACTTCATAGAGTTGCTGATCCATCCCATCTCACTGCCTTGCACTGTGAGGCAGCTGTCTCACCTGAAGTTGAAGCCTCCACATGTTCATGCTGGGAAGGAGGTCGTATTTTAAGCTCAATGTGTTTTCGTTTTTTAGTGTCTTCAAAAGCCATGTTCAACGACTGCAAATTATGAGAATAAATTAATGGACCCTGAAATCGACGCAACACTTACGCAGATAACGTGTTAATTTTAACAGTACTGGTATAATGTTAATTAGCATTTTGCTATTCTAGCATTTTGCGCCATTATCAGACATCCTTGTTAGGGCTGCTCTTCTATTCAGTTCTATGGTCAGTGTGTTCGTTCCAAACTGTAGCAGTATATACAGTAGTACAGTTGAAGTACTGTGCCGTACTTCATGCTCTCGCTCCAGTGTCATACCTTCAATGAGTTTGGGCAGGAAGTGAGCAGCTCCCTTGGTTTTCTTCACCCGGTTCCCCTTCATGACCTGTCCGTCCCGGTTGATGCCGATGTACCACGCCCGTCCTGACTGGGTCTGTCTGTACAGGATGGACGAGTAGGTCACGTAGTAGTTCTCAAACACACACTCTTTGAACTTACACTCCGGCGTGAAGTGTTCCTGAAATACACACACACACAAAAAAGAGGGAAACAGCGCCCACGTCAGGTCAGAGCAGCCTCAGAACCGTCAGCCTTTTTCGGAGCGCACGTCTTTTTTTTTTTTTTTTTTATCTGTTCCATTATTTATATATTTACTCCCCAATTTTGCAGGGTACAGCTGGGAATGGGAGGAAATGGGCGCAACATTTCATCGTGACAGGGAGTGTTTGCCGTTGCATCAAGAAACAGCCTAGAAACACACACGTGTGTGTGCACGAAGACACACACATACACAGAGGGGCATCCATTTACTCACAACAGAACAGAGTGGTTCCAGAGTTTAGATGCCATAACTCAGCTGGTTCAGTTTACCTGTAACAAACAACAATCAACCGCATCCTTCACCCCCTCCACAGTTTAATGACCTCGCAGTCGGCCTTCGACTCGAGCAAACGTAGGCCAAGACACACACACACACACACACACACAACTGTTCATCTCCACGTTAGACAATATGTCAACACCAGGACACCCCTCCTCCCTTGTTCCCCGCTCATCTCTCTCTTGTTACAGCTCTCACATATTCCCTCTCGATCTCACATTCTGCCTCTCCTTCCGCACTCGGCTCCCTCCACCCTTCCGTCATTTGGTAACCTTGTCAAGGAACAAACCAATTTGCAGGATTGATTTGGAGCCTTGATATGACGGGTGAGCAAGAAAAGGCCTGAATAAGGAGTTTGCGTTCTCTTACCCTCCTCACCATCTGCTCTGCACCTTCTAGCTCTTCCTTTTTTTTTTTTCTTTCTGCTCGTTCGCCGTCGCGGGCGTTGCGTATTCCGCCACTGCCTCTTTTAATTGTAGCTCGCACGAACAAGGTGATTTCATTGACTGCAACGCCCACGCTTTAATTACATTTACCACTTAGTTAAGCCAGCCGTTCTTGTGGCCCGACTGTTAACTAACTCTAATAGCACAGTCGGGAAGCCAAAAGTCTTGATTGTCTGCAGAGGTGTCCTCAGATTACTGTTATTATTTCTGTTTGCAATGCAGTCAGATTTGACTCCCACTGCTCTCTCTCTCCCGCTCACTCTCTCTCTTTCCACACACATGTATCTCGAGAAGGACTCCCTCAAAGTTCTTATATCCAACGTTTGCCCCACGCCATGTCTAACCGTGTGCGTCTGTATCATTATCATACCACGGTGCACTTGATTAGTCATTATCTACCTAGGAGACCAACCACGGAGGAGACACAAACTGTTAGACACTACAGCTAACATGATGTAAAAAGAAGAAGCAGCATGTGTTTTGTTTTTGTTGTTTTTCTGATTGTAATGTTTATGTGGTAAAATACTGTTAGAATTCAGGGAATAAACTTAAAGCTGAAATACTGGAGAATTAAATAAAAATCAGACAACAAATCACTTTCTGCTTCGCAAAATTTGACCTAAGATACATTTTTTTTTTTACATTTTTTAAAAAAAATTTTCTGCAGAATTCCTCTTTTAAAAACAAATATACAGTCACCATTATCCCTGCAGGGCCATTATTTTCATTGGACAAATGCGTTGAACAGTGCATTTTGACAAACAAAGAAAAGTTGAATTTGAAATGTATTTTCTTTAGTGTGTTTCAGCTTTAGTTTGTTGTTTTCTAGTGTGTTTCAGGTTTAGTTTGTTATTTGTTTATTTGTTTTTTTTTTATCAACTACTACACATTTTAGATGGCTTTCTTTTGAATTCCAGCAAACCCCACTTAGGTTCACCACCCAAAGGTTGAAAAACACTGACTTACTGTTTCTATCAAAAGTAAAATCTGAGTAGTTTTGCAACCAACTGTAAGTAATTTGGCTCTTTTCCATCAGTTTTTTCATCATATTTTAAGGTGTGCAGATCGAATGTTGATTGTTCAAGGATTGCAAGGCCTGTGTTGCATGATTTAAAGACACAGTTATTCAGGATTAAATGACGTGTATATTTGGTTTTTTTGTTTTTTCTGCAAAAATACTGAAAAAAACCCACATTAGAACAGTAGTACTTTATTTAATATAATACCATAAAGATGATTTCTCATTCTAAAGTGCTGTTGAATATTAATAACACACAGTTTTTCAAATGAATGAATGCTAATGCACATGAACACGGCGGACAACAAGGAGCAGACATGAACTAAATGTAGTTTTCCATCCAGAGTATTTCAATTCATTGCATCTTGTAAAATATGCCGTTAATATTTCATGTCATTTGAATGGGTGTGATGGTGCCACACTGACTGAAATCCCCGGCAGCATCACTGACGATTTGCATGCAGGTTGTTCACCTCATACATGAGAGGAGAAATGAATGCATTCTTTTGCTGCTTTTACATCTGCGACTTTGGTAAATTATTCCCTAAGAATTGATTTATTATACATAAAAAAATAGATTTCAGATACCAAAGCATCAATTTTCCTTCATTTCAGAACACCATGTTTAGACGTGCAGTGCCTTCTCTGTTCAGCGGGTGCTGCTGTAAACACATAGACATTTCCAGCCCCTGTCACTAATGCCGCCGGTGCTGCTCTGAAATAAACTCATGATCACTCACCGCTACACACTGAGTACTGTGTTAAAATCCACTGCAGCTCTCCAGTCATTAAGGGAGACTGGAGAGAAGTCCAATTTTTGGGGCGACTTCAGCTTCTAACAACCTCCTGAGCTTGTTAGCAGCTGGAACTTTTGCTTGCGCACACAGAATTTTTTTTTATACATTTTTTCCTTAGAACACGGATCAGAAGAAGTCGGATGGAAAAAGTGAGGAATAAAAGGATTACTACAAGGTTAGGTAAAAAAAAAAAACCTTTGTTAAACTTGATGCAGTCCTGTTGTGGCAAACATGTAACATGTCTTCTGAGCGTTATTGGGGGGACCACACACATACACACACAAAGTGGTGACTGATGAAGTTGCTGCAAACCTCATCACTCAAAGACGGATGTGGGAGGGGGACTAGGCTTGATAACAGGGAGGAAAGAGACTGACACGAAGAAAAAAAAAGAAGATGTAGAGATGGATAGTTTACCAGGATTATTCTGTTCATCCCTCAATGACACATACACTGAGCTGCTGTCTCATTTCCATCCGCTGACACCTAAACACATTATTCATCCCTGCTCAAAGGCACATGGCTGACATTGTCCACTGAGCCTCCCATGCACTCAGCTGGGAAATTGATTCCACGTAAGACCTCTGTGAAAAGTCAATAGGCATTTTTGCAGCAAAAAAAATTCCTGGATTAGGCTTTGATTGGACGAGCACAGCCAGGACACAGTAGAGAGAGGAAAACCTATAACCACCTCACCAGCTGCCTTTAGGGAACCACGGTTTGATCCAAAGTCTTCTAGTTACAGACACTTATCGACTACATCAAGGAGGGAGAATTATTTTATAAGGTGTGTGTTGTTGACATGGCGTGCAGGTGTGTGTTGTGTCGTACATCTGGCCTTTTTTTCTCACAGAGCAATGTTATGGTGTCTCCTGTACAAGCGGTTATACTTACAACTAATCTCGTCATTTATTGATAATAAAAAAAAGGAAACTGATGTGCGGTGACCTGAGATGCTGTGCGTCTGTCATTTTATCACACAGGGCTCCCAATTTATGGGGCGTGTCCCAAAGGGGGTACAAAAAGGCAAGGACAGATAAAGAGGTTTTTGCTCTTCAGTTTTTCTTTGTCACAGAGTCATGGCATTGCACTGATTTCTTAAGTTTTATTCGAGTCATAGAAAGGAGGTGGAGATAATCTGATCATTTTTCAAAATAAAACATCGATCGGAATCAGATGTTAAATAAAACAGAAATAATGTAAGTTATGTATTCTTTCTGTGTGGCCCGGCACCAACTGACCCACAGACTGGTTCCAATCCGCGGCTTGGGGGTTGGAGTTCTGTGGCATTCAGAAGCCAAAGTAGAGAATGTATGTGTGTGGAATGTGGATGATTGACAATAGTCCTATCTCCAAAAGAGGGCACTGCTAGAAAAAAAAAAGTTTTGGACCAACTGTGCTAAGGGTTTGCCATAAGCACAATAAAAGTTGTCTCTTTCTTGAGCTACTTTTGAGCTTCTTCTAAAATTCTGACAATCCAAATATTCTCATAAACTCCACAGAGAAAGTCCAAAATTAGAAACAAACAAGTGACCTTCTTTCTGTGAGGCAACAACTAAAGAAAAAGCACCGACATGCAGCCCACATCATCCCGAAAATGTATAAATATATATTCGACGCGTGACTCGTGTCGTGCCACGTTGAAGACTTTATTGGATAAAAGTATTTAACTTTGCACGTCACAAATCACAGCATCTGCTGAGACGTGAAAAAACCATATTCGTCAACTGTTCGTCTGTCACCTCACATCTTCAGCCTCCCTCTCGCTGATCTCCACCTTCTGTCTCTCCACTCCAGTCCAATAAAACAGAAAGTGTCATAAAAAATATCCTGCAGGGGGATTGCCGGGTTATAAAAATATATTGGACTGGCTGTGATTTGTGAAATGTTTTTCTTTCTCCTCTGAAGCATTTGCTTCAGTGGGGTTTTGTGCTCATCTGGGCAGATGTAGTTTCCGGTTTATGGCACTTAAATGTCACAAAGTATGATTTCTGGTATAATTGCACCGCCTCGTCCCATCAAAGGCATGATCTGGAGTTAAATTCAAAATGTAACCAAACCAAAGGCGAACCAGATTTCGATGGAATAGAGACTTTAAGTTTCCAGCAGACGCCTGTTTGCTAAAGTAGCTGATTACAGCCGGAGCGAACGAGCAGGGCACGTAAATGACTGTAATCGAGGACACGCAGCTGAGGAAGCATCACAGAAGCTTACAAAAATAATTATCTCAAGATGGAAGTAATTATCATTTACTAATTTATGCATGGACAACATGTGGCCCCACAGGCAATCGCTCAGCATTATGGAATAAAGGGCGTTTGACTGCTTTCAACAGAAACTCTGATTTTCTCACGCTAAGATAACAATGTTTGACGT